CTCTACGTGGATTATACAAAGATATAAGGAGACTGGAATGGTCCAACCTCTGTTCTGCCGTTCCCAATTCATTCAGGGCTGACAGTTTTCCTTTTCTCTGTGAACATGCTCTTGTCATTAGCATGCCTCTGAACTTTGCCTCACAATGTCTCTTCTGAACAGTTCTGATGAATTATTTCATCCTGTATGGGGCTGACTGCAGGGCATACACATGTGGGTGCTTCCTCTGGCCTGGGTAGAGTCTTTTCATACTGATACAGGACGAACACCTGTTCCCCTGCCCCACTAAAACCTGACCCCAGAGTGTGCTGCTGACATTAAACTGTGCATGTAAGAATGCAGTAATTTAGAGGCCTGCAGGGACACAGCAAGGCTACTCTCTGTATTTCTTCTCTGGCATTTATAGAATGTAAAAGTAATTTCTGTAAACAATTCACTCCGCTACACATTCACATATCATAATTTTTAAAGCTCCATATTTTGCTCTTCTTCTGTGTTTTATTTGAAGTGTTGATCCATAAGAAGATATATTTGTGGTTTTAAGAACCAAAAACCATCTCAGTGTAGTTTTACATCTCCTCTCTCAGGCTTCTCTCTGGAGCTCTAGTAACAACAGGTCAGTGAGCCAATCAGAAGAGAGGAGGCTCTGAGCCTCTCTCCTGATTGGCTGACTGTTTTCTAAGTGTTCCAATAAAAATACAGCAGTAAACACTCAGAGAAACGAAAATCCTGCAAGGTTGGATGGTGGGTCCAGGTGTGCGGGGCTTGGGGCATGGCTGAGAGACGTGACTGCTTTGCTGTGACATCACAAAGTTGCAGAAGTCCTGACAGCTTGTTTTAAGGCTCAGTTTCTGAATACAGACTGTGTGTATTTCTCTGTGGACTGAGCGCTTTGATACTTTCACAGTATTAATATAGAACCTAGACCTGCTGTATAATCACATGTAACTGATGGACATCTACCTCTATACTATATGGGACCTTTAAGGTAACTCATTAAAGTGCAACACTCCAACAAGCTCATTCATCCCATCACTATGGGCAGTTAGACCCCCTCTGAAACCAAGCTCATCTCAGCTGTTTGTGTCTGTGAGCTTGTTCCTTCAGTCACTATCCACAACTCATGACCAAATGTGAGGGTTTGAATATAGATCAAACAGGTAACGTCTTCATGAGGGCTGAACAACTAATCAAAATATTATCAAATTAGCAGGAGCTGCAATTTTTTTGATACACATACCATAAATGAAGCATTGTAGTGCTACAGAGGAGCCCCGGCCTACAAATTATATTCTCCAGACTCAAAAGACCCATCTAAAATCACATCATCATTTCTATATTTTTTTCTGTGAAAATGAAATGACCATTCTAACTGAAATCATGACTCATATTGCAATTGCAATATGATTTATTTTTCATATCCTTCAGCCCTCGTCTTCACTAGAGCAGCCCAGGAAACGTCCTAGCCTCACTGTTTGACAAGGTACGACTCTGAGATGCTCTAATTTGGGGTAATTACTTTTTCCTAACAAAAGGGGTGGTCACGTTTCCAGCAGTCTACCGTCTCAGGCTTTGACGTTTTGATCCTTGTTCTAATCACTTCAGCTTGAGCCCAACCAGCAAAAAGTAAAAATACAGTCTGGACATCACCTAACTATAGACACTCTCCACTCCTCAGCTGCACTTACAGCCTCTGTTCAAGAAACCCACACAGAAACAGAATTGGGGACAAGGTGTAGCCATCGCTGAAAACGGCAACACAACAATCGTTCTGGTTATACAATGACCAAATGGCTTGGAGCAGCAGCCCAGCCTCCACAACACACCCTGATAAGGTCCTGCTCTGCAAAGGCAGGGGAGGAATGTAGCACGGTTTTGCCTTAGTAGCACAGTCAAATATGGTAAACCAAGCAAGAGGGCATCTTGGGTAATTATTAGTAACGGGGTGAAGCGCCGTGCACATGGCATGATTGACACGCAGGAAGGAGCACCTCCTGCACAAACAATGCTGCCCTAATTGGATGGTTGGATTCAGAATGAGTGAGTCTTGCTGATGAGAAATTCACTAAGTATTAACTAAATGCTGGTTGAAGCAGAAGGTTTAAGTTAGAGAGCTAATTTACCAGTGACTTGTGGATGTTGTGGTTTCTTTGGTGCTAGTTTCACTTGCTCATTTTGAGGTTACAAGGTAGAAATCACAGGCTTTAGGGAGTCACCGGCCTGACATGTTGCCCCAGCTTAGCAGCCCCTTTTTAGCTCTGCTCGTCACGCTGTAGTCACACATCTGCACCTATATATCAGAGCCGTGCACAGAAACATTCCTGAGAGCAAAGCAGAGGTGATTTGTGTGTCTTTCTCCTTCGTTTTTTATTAAAATTCATCTGTGATCTAACTGTTCACTCGGCTAAAAGCTATACCTTTTAAATCAGTCATCTGTCCAGAACCTAGACCTGCACCACATTAAGACCAGCACTGACATCACAACTGTTTCCCCTCTCCCCGCCGCGCCTCATGCCGCTTTCATATATTTTCTCTTGTCCTCAACAGATGGACAATCTTGCAGCCAGAGATTTTTTAAAGTGTTTAATAAATGTAATACAACCTATATAGTGTTGAAGAAAGGGGACTAAACCAGAACCATGTGCACGGAGTGAATGGCAGCCGTTAGGGGCCACAGCTAATATGGTCCAACATGTGGACCAGGCCATGCAGGCAGGTTCACTCACATGTTGGACAGTTTATGACCTTCAGCATAGTTCCCTCAGCAAGTAGACTGGGTACGTTACTACTCTGTAATTTATAGCGTGATGTTTTGTTTTTAAATGCACCGAAGTATTCTCTACGAGAGGAGAAGTAATAAAAGGATACAGGTGATGTTGGAATGCAGTGTCTTTCATGTTTTATCTCAAAAAGGAGTCGTACAGTGGTATTGTGTTCCTATAGAGGGTAATATATGAAGGTGTTTGACTTATTGTCAAATTAAGGAAGGCTGTCATGACCCTGGTGGTGTGTATGCATGCCTCTGGTCGTTATTTCATTCAGCTCAACCTGACACTGCTAACCGCAACAGATAATAAAGTATTCCTGAGAAGGAATGTGAGCAGTGATGGGACTGGATAAATCACAAACACTTGGAAGTCAAGCTGGAGCTGTGCAGTGTGAATACTTATATTTCACATACCTACAGTGAATACATACAGTTTAAGCATTTACCACTATTAGACTGTGAAGCCTCATCAGATCTTGTCTTCAACTTTAAACAAAGTAGCTTTTACTTGTCTTCAAACTTTGTCCCTGTTGGCTACCATACACTCCAGAGCAAGAGCTAATCAAATCTTCAAGATGCTTCCCTGTAATTATATTTTGACCCATTAGTGGGTCAGTCATCACAAACTCATGCAGTGCAGCCAAGTTTTGGACAATCTCTCAGAGCTTTGCTTTAAATTCCAGTAAGAGTTGGTAATTTGGACAAAATGATCTGTCACAGTAGATGTAGTTTTTTATTGCTGTATCAGTGAATGTTCTGAAGAAATAAAATAGAGAAACTGTTCATGGATAAAATGTTTTTGTTCAATCAAGTGAATACAATATTTGAAAAATCCTCTCCATGTACTTGATCTCATTGATGTCAGAAAATATTAAAATCAAATACTGTCATAAAACTGTCCTGCTCACTGATTCACAACATTGCCCATTATGGCCTACACTCAGAAGGAAAGGGATAGCTAGCATGGTAATAATGGTATATAACCGTAACATATATACAGTAGCCTCATGTTGCCCAACCTTAGATTTCAGTCAAGATCCAAACTTTTCCAAAGACATCAAGTATTTCAGGCAGAATCTTGGGCAAATGTGTTAAGAATGAAGCCTGAAGTCATCTACAATATTTACATTTAGTTACATGGAGCAGTTGTAGAGCTCATATATATCATAGAGCTGATAAATGATGCTTAAATGATTGATAAATATATATATATGTATATATATATATATACATATATATATTTAATTATTTGCAGCTATATATAAATGTATACTAATATCAAAATGTATGTTAATTATTTCTTTGGTTAAAATATTAATCAAAAATAAGTTTTTACCTGACCAATTAATTTCAGTTAAACTAAAAAGACATTTTCAAATACTAATTGTGACATAACCTACATTTGGCCACATCTACATCCTTTTTACACTTACATGGGACATTATACTGTAATATTCACCTCGTGCTTATACCGATAGGGTGAGATCCACAAATGTATTAAACGCTATCTGACTCACATTTTTGCACAGCCTAATATTTCACTAAGCCTTAGCATTTCATTCAGAGATGTACTCCAGATAAGTGCAATAATCTCAGTTTGATGGATGGCCCAGCCGGAGCCTCAGGCCAGTGGTGTGTACATACTGCAGTGGTTGCTGCTGAACGATAAAACCAACATAGGCAGGTGTGTTTGGTTAAGATGCACTTGTCAAGAGGGGTGACAAGCATGTCTGTGTTCATTCAAGTGAACCCCTTATCTGCACCTCCATGTCCCACTCATGAGACAAAAGCACTTCCCATGTTTGTATGATTTACCTCTCAAGTAAAGTGCACCTCCGAGCGCACACACGCACGTACATAACCATACCTTACAGAGGAGACCGTGCTAGCTATAAGTTATATAGCCTCTCATTACTACTTACTCCACAACTCAAAACAGTAGAATACATCATTTGTCTTTCTATTTTGTGTTGCTTCTTTTCATTTATACATACGCAATTTTTATTAGTTTTTTTTGGGAGGGGGTGTATTTAGTTGTTATGGTTTCTTGTCTATTTCTTGTGTATTTTATTACCTTTGTTCTCTTCTTCGCGTGTTTATGCGTGAGCTCGTACGTCACCTTTTTTTGCACTCACACAGTTTCACCGGCGTTAAGCGGAAGTGACGACACATCAGGAAGTAAAGCTCGCCGCTGGCCGACAGCAGTGAATAGCAATGGACAGCAACAGCAATAACTAACATTAGTTGGCGTTTGTCTCAGAAGCCGCCGCCTGAATGTATATGTGAAGCCTGTCCCTGATGAGGTGAATTGTTGAATGTCCTTCTAGAGTCGCTGAAAATGACACCAAGGTAAGCAGCTGTGTGTGTGATGATCTGTGTGCTTGCTAGCTTTGTAGCTAGCCGCATGTAGCTAACATTAACCTGCAGCCTGAACGAAAGTAACAAGAGAAAAGCCTAATGTTAACCTCATAAATAAGTCTCTTGAATGCATGAGTGGACTGTAGCAGTCAGCTGCGCTCGTCATGAGGAAACCTGTGGAGAGATACTCACTTAAAGGGAATTACACTACAGTAAAAATCATGTAGCTGTATCAGTTCTGTAATATACAGGCGAGCTTTTTAAATTTTTTCTTTAAGCTGAAAAGCAGAGACAGTAGACTCTATGGGTCATCTAGAGATAAAAACCTGGAGCTGCTCTTAGGCACTGAATAAAGACTCTTTGACAGCACTCTTGGTCATTGTACTGCAATATTCTTAATCTCAGCCAGAAGAAATGTATTTAAATTAATTAATTTGGAATTAATGCTATGCAACAGTCATGCTCTCAGCCCACTGGGTCAGTCACTAATTCAGTGACAATGACACCAAAATGTGTCATTGGATGAGATCATCTGTTTCTGTCTTGATATTTAGGGAGACAGAGACATATATATCATTACTATACAAAATCATATAGTAATATTTAATTTGAGTTTTAATCTTCATATTTCTTGAAATTACATACAAACAAATGAAGGTTTAAGTGGCTGTCATCAAATCAGACTGAAATCATTAGCTAGTTTAATATCAACGCTCCCTGTGTGCCCACATGAGTCATGTCCTTGTTCTGGGAAAGACAGTGATGCTCCTTTTCTTTCTATGTTTTTCCAGATGACTTACCAGTGGCTTGGACATCTGTGATTTGGCAGAAGATGAGGCTTGCTCAGTTTGTCAGACTTGTCATTGCTTGTAATGATTCCTAATGTATGCACAAACCACACTGACATGGACAGCAAACTATAGTGAATCGTGACTGTTGCTTTTTGCACATCACACATTCACACTCACTCACACACACACACACACACACACTAACTATATAAATTATCATTTAGCTTGTTTTGAATGGCTCTCAGTAAATAAACGGTGCTGACAATGTCACTGGGTGAGCAGTCTCAAAAGTGGTTTCCAACCCATGTCCAAGCCACTGTTCTTCAAGCAAACGGTTTACAGCCCAAGGGCAAAAATGGCACCAATGATGCCTACACCATCATTCAGCTGGGCAAGGAAAAGTACTCGACGTCGGTGGCGGAGAAAACACTCAGTCCTGTCTGGAAAGAAGAAGCCTCCTTTGAATTGCCTGGTCTACTTTTGGAGGGCAACCCGGAAGTATATGAACTCTGCCTTATCGTGATGCACCGGTCCTTGGTCGGGATGGACAAGTTCCTGGGTCAGAGGTCCATCAACCTTAATGAAATCTTTGATAACAAGGAGCGTAAGAAAACTGAGTAAGTATACTGTATATATCATATACTGTAGCAGGAAAGTACCAGATGTCACCTCAAGGCACATAATTTAACAACAAACCATACATCTAAACCACCAATCCAAAATTAAGATACACGAATACCTGCTGCAAAATTCTCACCATAATTCTTTTTTGCTAACAACAACTTGTTTTGGGAAGATACAAAAAGATATGACAATCATAACAAGGCAGCATTAAATCAGTCAGTCAAAATGAAAAATTAGATTTAGTGTGCTACCATTAATGAACTGTAATCTGTCTACAGTCATTGCAGTGCCATTAGTTCACCACATTACACCCGCTCAATATCAAGCTAATGAGCCGTCACATTGGTTTGTACAGTAATTGACATTTGGACACTGGGACATATCTGCTGTAGTTGAGTTTCCCTGATTGAATCTTGAATTTTGATATTGTAAATTTCATACTGGGTCTTTAGCATCACATATACAGTATTTGGACTCTTATGTAATGATTTTTTATGACATTCAAGTTCAGTTCAGCGCCAGCTCACAGTCATGTATCAGTGTGTTGGTGGAACAGACTTTTAAGAGGAAGTGGAAAATATTTGCTGAACTATTCCATAAGTCATATGTTGATTACAGAGTGGGATATATTAGTTGCTACACATTGTCACATTCACACACATGTCGTATGTCTTATTTCCATATGAGCCTACATATGTGGACCTAATGACAGTGTGTTGAGTTGTGCGTGTTACATTCTGTACTCTGTACTCTCAAATAGGTTGATGACCTAAATTGAGCTATTTTTTTTTTTTTTTTACACCACATGATTAACATACCACTGCATTGTCCTTTATTCTCTCTATGTAGCTGTTTTATACGATTGATCCGTTTCACTTTAAAGACCAGAGGTAAATTGTTTGTAACCCAGTAGGTGAACTGGAAACAGGCGCATCACATTTTTTTCTTCTTCAGCTTTGAACTATCTAACACACCTGTCACAGATGAGATGGAAGAAACATCACAGATTGGTTGAGCTTTAGTTTTTCCATCTTGTTGATCGTCTATTGTTCGAGGCTTAGCAATGAATTTGCCTACATTGTTGAAAGATTATTTCACTGACATGGTGAGTGCCAGTTGGCCTAACAGAAACTAGTAGAGCTGGCCAAACATGTCTACTTAGTCACTCCTATGCATAAACTTGTTTTCAAAGGTGAATATGGTATTTTCTTCACAAGCAAAAGGAGCTGTGTTTGAATGTTGGCGTGTTCAGTGAAGAGTTCACTTGTTCTCCTTGTTTTATTTTTGTCTGAATGCTCTCAGTGTCTTCCTTAACCCAAAAAGACTAAAAGTCAGATGAAGTGGAGACTCTTCACTTGCATACTGAGTGTGATTTTGGTGAACAGCAGTGGGTGTCATCTAACTGAGTCAGACCTCTCTTAAACAGGTGATTTGTCTATACTGTTTATCTGCCTCACGCCCAGGGCTTGCTAGAAGAAGGTTTGTCCCTTTGTGAAGTTACTGAATAAGAGGCTTGAACAGAAAGAGAAAATGAATAAATCTACAGTAAACTAAACCAACATACTGTACGTACCATCACATCTTGGGGATGTTGATCCTTACAAGTCCAGCACACACACGTTTCTTAAATCTACATTAAGAAAACAGGAACAGAATTAGCAAACTGGATCTGGTGCTAATTAGCTCACTGCACATTTCAACATGGAAAGACATCAGCACACTTCCTGTTCGCCCATCAGGGGGGAGAATCACAATATGTTATAATCAGTGTGGATGGGTTTTATTTGTTTTAGGTGCCTGAGCCGATGCATCTTGAGGCCGTGCACTTTTTCAGCAGTGGTTCTGTAATGGATATACCCGTGTTGCTTGTTGGCCTAATCCCACACTGCAGGCATACTTGACAATGATGCTGGGACCCTCGATACTATATCCACACTCCACTGTGGGTCTGTGTTCACTGCGGGCCCATCTGCAATGTTTTTGAACTGACATATTGGGGAGGAAAGCCCGTCTTGATATCTGAGTAGGCAGCCCATAATTATCGCACACCTGTGTTTGTTGATTGTGAGGAGTTTCCCAGCGGTCCGGGCCCGAGTGGGAGGATTGTGGTTCCAAGCACACGGAGGTTTATCTTGGCCTTGAGACACACGTGAGGTGCAGCTCCGGCCCCACGGCAGCGGCATGCTGTGGCTGCTGATCAGACTGAGAACGGTGCGCAGCCTGGGAATTAGACCCAGCAAGGCCTTTCATGACTGTGCTCCTGGGCCACGAGCTCGACGGTTTAGAATAGCGTTCAACAGCTGCGGTTTTTAAAAGGCCAATACCAAGACCTTTTTTTCTTTTCTTTTTTTTTTTTCTTTTGGATTGAACTGATAACTGATACTTCATGCTGGAATTCAAGGGATTCTACAAATCTCCATTTACATCCAGGAAGTAATATCAGTAATTATATTAAAACAAATAAGATCATGCAAAGATGTTTTCAGTTCAAGGGTTGTCCATTAGATTGAAAATGTTACATACAGTAATGGTGTGCAGGCCAATATTTGGAATACAGCCACATTTCTTAGATTTACATTGACTGATTTACAGTTTATTCATCTTGATGCTGGTTTCCTGTAGGACCTTGTCATAAGCCCTATAACATAGTGGATATGTATTATTAGCATATACGAACTGTTGGGTTGCCATGCGACATGGCTTTGCAGTTTCCCCAATTGCTTGTTGTTGCATTTCTGAACAAAGGCCAGATTTGTGCAAATGCCACTTCATTTCGCTCAGAGTGAAGGCATAAATCCCATTACTTCCAGTTGAAAAAGCAGAGAGGTTAAACAAATAGAAGCTCAAAAGCAGCCTGAAATGGTCTATATTATTCAGCAGCAGCCCGTTTCTTACGTTCAATTTGCAAAGAATAATGTTTATCCTCTGTGTGATAAATTGTATTCTCACTTGTGTCAGAAAAAGTTAAAGTCAGATTTAAGCCCCTGCGTTTGTGTGTAGCTTTTGGATTAGTCTGCTCAAATTAGCCTTTTCACTGGTGTCCACAAAGAAGTAGGTAGAGCACATTAGAAAGGATGTGGGCTATTTCTTCCATTTGTCATATTGTTTGATAGTGTAAGGACTTTTACTGCATTTTGACTTTGTATACCTGTCTTCCTGAATGATGCTGAATTATGTGTAATCAACTCACAACATTTTCATAAATCCTGTTCTTTTTATATAAATTGCCTTGTTGAATTTGCTCAGCCTAAGCTTCCTCCTCTCTCATTACAGCTGGTATTCCTTGGAGTCAAAGCCGGGGAAAAAGAGGAAAGAACGAGGCCGCATCCAAGTCAGCATTCAGTTCATGAGGAACAACATGACGGCCAGCATGTTCGACCTCTCCATGAAGGAGAAGCCCCGCTCGCCTTTTTCCAAACTGAAGGACAAAATGAAGGGTCGCAAACACGACAGTGGCTTTGGTGACACATCTTCAGCCATCCTGCCTCGCTCTGCCGTGTGTGACGCGGAGCCCAGCCGTCAGGCCTTTGCCCCAGACCTACAACCTCAGCCTGAAACAAAGGTCAAGAGACCATTACTCGCTGGGGCCCATAAACTATCTGCAGCCCATTCCATGTCGGACCTCATTGGGACCCATTTTCGACCTAAACTGGACTCCATGAACTCCATAGAAGAGAGTGGTGAGGACCAAAGCTTTTTTTTTTTTTTCAGATTTTGATTGTTATGTATGTATGTTATGTTTGCCTTTTTAGGTACAGCAGGTAAACTTTCATCACTGCTTGTCACATGTCTGCAGAGGATTGACAGGGTTTTTGAAATCAACCAAACACCAAATGATCTCTCTTTACCAAATGAAGTCATTGTTGATCATCTCATACTTTCATTCAAGGATGGAGGACAGTGGTATAAGCAAGAGACTGGTGTCTCAAAAATTTCAGCTATGTGTGAAGGATAAAAGGCCTTGTTGTCATACACTGAAATGACAGAGAAGTGTTATAACACAACTGCAGTATGGTTTCCTCTTCTCCTGTGTTTTATTTGAAGTTGATCCATAAGAAGATACATTTGTGGTTTTAGGAACCAAAAACCATCTCAGCGTAGTTTTATATCTCCTCTCTCAGGGTTCTCTCTGGAGCTCTAGTAACAACAGGTCAGTGAGCCAATCAGAAGAGAGGAGGCTACGAGCCTCTCTTCTGATTGGTTGACTGTTTCCTGAGTGACTGAATAAAAATATAATAGGTTTCATGTAAACACTCAGAGAAACCAAATCCTTCAAGGTTGAATGGTGGGTCCAGGTGGGCGGGGCTTGGGGCATGGCTGAGAGCAGTGACTGCATTGTTGTGACATCACAAAGTTTCAGAGGTTTCTGAATACAGGCTGTGTGCATTTCTATGTGGAGTGAGTACTTTGATTCTTACAGTATTAATATAGAACCTAGACCTGCTTTATAATCAAACAACACATGGACATCTACCTTTATACTATATGGGGCCTTTAACACCATTTTTTGTTGTTTACCTGTTCTAAATTAAGTATCTTAGCCTTATTTACTTGTGACTGCTGTACTGTTAATGTGGGATGCTTTTGCAATTTCCAGTGGCCATCAGTAGGGGTCAATAGTAGTCACAAAGCTAGAGGGATATACAGTGTATATAAAGATATTGACAGTACAAGGTATGTAAACCTATATATAAAGGTATAGTAATTTTCGTACCAGTCTGCAGTCTTTGTTGATCTCTGTTGCTGACCAGTATAAAACTGACCCTTCCTGCTACCCTATCCCTACTGAGATGTCTCTAAAAAATCTCTAAGAATATTTATCTGGTGATGTCATTATTCTGGTCAGGTATTGATTAGCAACCCTAAAGTTTCAATACGGTCATTTTCAAGCAGCGGAATTCATAATTTTGCCAAGCAATGGCGCAATCAATCAGGCAACAATCTGATTTGTCTTATATTCATTACCAGCAACCCAAATTCTGGTCTCTAAATGTACAAATAATCACAAAAGGAAATAGATAAGCATTATTCAACTCACTGCTGACTATCTTGACTTCCAGATCTCCACCGCACAGCTGTCTGAGGCAGTAACAGTACAATGATTATGACTTTATCTTACAAGCTACTTTGTGAACATTCAGTTTGGCATGCTGGAGAGAGGAAATTAGCCAAGGTTGTGAAGGTAGGAGGCACACAATTGCAGATTTGGAGGGTATAAATAATATAACAAGCTGTCCTAAATTACTGCTCCAAATGAAATGTTTCTTTTGTGGTGTGGAATTAGTTGGAGAAGTGTCAAGGCCAGCTTGAAAAATAACATGAGTAAACACTTAGGCACAACACAAAGTGGAGATCTTTACTTGTTCTTTTATTTGTGTCAGACTGTTCAAAGTGTTTAAATCATTAAATCAGGGATTGTTTTGGGTAAAATCATCATAAATCGTCCCATTGAAAAACAATTACATATTTTGCCTTAATAAAGATTGTGATTATTTCTTTCCATAGATATTTGTTTATTGCAGCTCCATCAGTTGATGTAATACTTTTGGTTTCCCCTGGGGGAGTACAGGTGGACCTCACAGGCGTTCCCAGAGCGAGGTGCCAGGCTATCAGGACGGTGAGGCACACAGTGACCCTTTCACTGATATCAGTGACACCCTGCCACAGAAGTATGCCACGCTCCCACGCAACCGCAACCCATTTGAGGGGGAGCACGGGCAGCTGTGGGACCGCGCAGAGCGGAAGGAGAAAAAGGAGAAGGTCAGCCTCCTGGAACGAGTGACGGGAAAGAAGGAGGGCCGCAAGACCAGTAACGGGGGTCGATCGGGCAGCTCTGGAGACCTGCGCTCCCCCAACCCTTTCAGTGGTGACTCACAAGCAGACACTAACCCGTTCAGCTCCAATTACAAAGCCAGGTAATTTCCTGTTTTGTTTATTCTGTGTGGTTCATCAAAATGAAAAAACACATAGCACAGTACAGCTCCAGTACATCACACTCTATTTACCTCACAAAACATTTCCAGCTGTCTCTCCTTCATCAGGGTGCTGCCTTAGGTTGTTTCTGGTTTCCTTAATCCCAAATATCCCAATCAGTGATTGATCCCTAAATCACCATAGATACCTAGTACATAAAACAAGAGCATTTCAGTTTTGTCTAACAATATATTATTATCACTCTTACTCTTCTTGAATACAGAATAGTACAATATAAATATAAATGACAAAACAAATAATATTACAGCCATCTTTTCAGAATATAACTTAACAATAAAAACTTAACTAGAGATACACCAATTGATCAGCTGGTGATTGGAAAAGGTTGTCAGCATGATGGGCTATGGTTGGTTACGACCTATCAGTCTCAGATATCCGATTCTGTGCCGGTCAAATTTACACTCATGCGCCTCTTAATGGTTCATGTTTCACACGCAACAGCACAGGCGCAACATGCTGTCGGCGTGGAAAATGCAAAGTTCGCAATTTGGAATAGCTGTAAGGCCAGAGTGAGCTGTGGAGGAACAACCACGAAAACGTTTGGAACGACAAACTTAATCGGACACATGAAAACAACATCGCCTGCTGAACATCTCCGGTTTTAAGAGGCTAGCAAAGATAAAGCGACTAAAACTAGAGCCACACTGGTGACCTCACCTGTGCATGACGGCTGCCTCACTGAGCTGCTGCTGTGGCTCGCACACGTGTGTCCACACCGCCAGTGTTGCTGTAGTGACTTGGATGATGGCCCTCAGTAATAATAAGAATTTTATTGTGATCAGAAAGCAGTCACATGATTTTTATTTACCCTCATTCCAAGAGTGAGAAAGTGAGCTTTCCCTTCACCGAGTGATTTAATAGTAAATAATCGGTGTTTTATTATGAACATACAGTTCCATTGTCCATTAAAGAAACGTTAAAAAATGTTTGTGTAGCTGTCAATCATAGTTCTTAGAAAGAAAATGGGAATTGTCCAAGAAAAATGCAGTCAGTGCGTCTCTAATCTTAACCCGTCGATGGTTAAAAAAGTTGAATATCTGTTTGTCGACACAAATTAACAAATTCTTTAGTCTTTCAACCTATTTTTTTAAAACACCACAGACTCAAATCTCTCCCATCTTTTAAATAAATGTGCAGTTGTTCTCAAATGTGTCTGCTCTTTGGGAAAATATATAATCCAGAGACGCTACAAAAATGGCTTCATGTCCAGTTCCTCATTTAAACTTCTTGGACACTCGGTTTAGAGTCTTGGAAACTTCCCTTTGAAGGAGCAGCTTCTCTAAATGTCCCTCTCTGCTTCACATAGACGTACAGTAAACGCTCATGTGTTTAAAGTTGTCTTTTGTTTTCATTCATGGTCATTTATTAACAGCTGCCAGGTTTGGCTTTGATGTATGTCAACAATCAACAGTTTATTTTGAACTGGTTCATACTTTGCAGGATGTGTGTGACTAAGAAACAGAAGGAACTTCCTAATCAGCTCCACTGAAATATCAGTTTCTTCCATGCCTTAAATTTAGCCTCCATCTGTGTACATGTGTAGCATATCATCACTGTATGTTCTCCATCCTTTTCCATAAATATCTCACAATCCCAAAATGTGATCTGGCTAGCCCATGGGACAACCACTGTGCTGCAGGATATTGGTTACTGCATTCTTGTAAAGTTTCAAATACCTTGTTGATTGAAATGTACGATCTGATACACCCCCCCCTTCTCTCTCTCCTAAGTATTGTTGTTCAAACATGTCCACAGAGCCAGTTACATCTATTTCCTGTGTTACATAAAGAGTTGGTGAGCGCTGTGGCTAAGTTCTGGTTTATCAGAGTGGAAGGTGTCATTAGAGGCTCTTTAGAGAGCCTGGGCTTGATAACAGAGCCCTCTGAGCTATAGTAATGAGATCCTCTGCAGAGATAGACCACCCAATTAACCACTTATCTCTGTAGGCACTAGTCCATCATCTTTACTGCTGCCTTTGTCATGCAGTAGCTCAGTGGTCATTTATAATGTGGTGCACGGATATAAAAAGGTGCTTCAAAGTACAATATTTATTGATGAAACATTTTCTCTCTTCACCATATTCTCTTAAATGTCCGAGTCTGCCTCAGAGCTTCTGTAGTAGTATGAATGCTGACTTTCTATTTGATTTCTTCACAGTGATAAAAAGTCAACAGGAAAGGAAGACATCGCCTTTGGCCAGAAGAAGAAGGACATCTACAGCAAGAAGAAAGTAAGAGAAGCAGTACAACCCTTGTTGCAAAAGCTGACAGTTGGTTGATATCGTCACATATTGTCAGTTTTACCTGACATTGATTGAGATGGGAAAAAAAAAAAAGTGACCTCAGCTGTGACATTACTTCCTTTGCAGTGTTGTGTATATTTTTAATTGAGAACTCAAAGTTTCATTTGACGCAGCAGCTGGTGGCATTGATCTCTGAGGCCTCTGGAAATTCAGATGTGCCATTCAACTAATTAGCAGCTGCACACATTGGTCATCATGTCTGATCCGATCATAATTTGAAGTGGTGTGAAATTTCAGTCTATAAGGTCAGTCATAGTGGTGGGCTGCACTGATTCTGTAATTGGAGTTTTTTGTTGTTGTTGTTGATAAAAGGCAAGGAAATTGAGTTAGATTTTCTTTTTTTAATGATTATTACATCATTTGTACATGATGTTTTACCCTTTGTTGTTTGTTTTTTCTTTAAATTCTTTTTTGCATTTCCAATTTGAAAAAGAAAATTCGTAGACTATTACACAGCAAAATTGGGATTTACGAAGGAGCAGTGGGAGCAGTAGCTTAAGTGACGCCTAAATGAGAAAGAGAATGCTGATAATGGCTTTCCTCACCTTTCTTTGTGGGTGTTGAGGGCTGTCGGTATCCACACGTGCCCCCGTGCATGCCGCAGTGCCTCGCAGAAATGGCAGCTCCCATTTCCTCTGCTTCAAGGCCCTAATTAACCACATGCAGGGGGGGGGGAGTGGAGGGAGGGAGGGCAGTGAGAGATTTCAAAGGACTGAGCTTTTAGATTCTCAAAGCTGAGCTCATTAGAAACTGTAATGACACAACTGGAGAATGCCAAGTGTGCGCCTTATCTTCTCCCCACTACTGATCGCAGAAAAATGGTCATCATTACTTTGCCAGTTCATGGTCATTTCCAGGCCTTTGTCACCAGCCACTAAAGCTCCTGATTATTATGCTGTGTGTGTATTTGTGTGTGAGAGAGAGAGAGAGAGGGAGAGCAAGAGAGTGTGTGTACGCTTGTATGTGAAACCAACATTCACTTCCATATGGCTGTCAGTTCTGTTATTGCCTCTCAGATGGCTTAAGCGCAGTATCTTTCAGTGAGATGCTTTTTTTGTATTGTGTTGTGTTGTGTGTGTGTGTGTGTGTGTGTGAGGAATAGGTTACTGAGCTCTGTTCTTGAAACCCTCCTTACATTGGACATTTAATCTCTGTCGCAAATATTTCATTTTGGTTTGTGTCGCCCCACAGTAGCCTCTGTGCTGTTAGAAGCGATAAGATACCTGGTAAGCAGTCCCGCTCCAGGTCTTTCCACATTGTCTTTAGCCAGCAGTAGAAGCTTGAATGGTGCATGGGAGTGGAAGCTGATAAGTGTGGTATTTTAAACAGGGTGAAGGCTTTGCTGCTCTATCCGTTCGGGGGAGGATGCCCAGCACTGAAGCGATAAAGTGGTCCCTCATTAAAAACGATTACAGCTCCTCTCGTACCCGCGCAATATGATCTGCACATACCGTACCACACTGCTCTGTCCAAATAGATTGTCCTCAAAGAGCAAAGCTGGGCTTGGGTTGCATCCTTATTTTGGTATTTATTAGCCTGACATTTAATTGCAGAAATGTGCAGCCTGGCATTTCCCCCCTCAAAACAAAGATTTCTTTTTTTTCCTTTTTCTTTTTTTGTTTTTTTTTTGGGGGGGGGGGTCTTTGTTGTTAAGTTCTGGCAGCCTGTCAGGCGATTTTGCCTGAACGGTCTGTAGTAAGAGAGGTCATACTTTCATACTTTTAGTAAAGAATAAGGAAAACAACTTTCTGAAGATGTTCGCTTCTAGCTGTAGTGTCCAAGTCAAATCCCATTAGTGCACTTAAACTGCTCTTGATTTGTTACAAACACTGTTAGACATCTGCCACAGAATTCAGTGACATGCCAGTGCTAAATCCCTGGAGAACAGTCTCATCTAACAACTCTCATTTAGCCTTTATTAGCAACAGATAACACGCGATAAACACATGTGAGTTTATGTCACATTAGGTTTACACGTCTAATTAGTAATTTTCTGTGTTGTGTTGTGAGCGATCTTTAAGGGTAGTTTCACTCCTGCCTCTGTTATCAGATGCTGACACTTCATAGAAGATCATTCAACCATTTTAATCTACTTTTTCTAAAACATATCCATGCACAATATGGAGCTTGTAGCCTTAAGATCTGCTGGGGTTGAGCATTGACTTGTTTTGTGTTTTTTTGTTTGTTTTTTTTTTTCCTTCCAGGAGGTGACACAGGAAAGTGTGGCCGCCTATAGCAACTTATCCTTTGAGGAAGTTGTGCAGGAACTCATCAAGCAGAAAGAAATAGTGAAGAAGAAAGATGCCCACATCAGAGAGCTGGAGGACTACATCGATAACCTACTCGTACGTGTCATGGAGGAGACGCCGAGCATCCTACGGACACCGTATGAGCCCAAAAAGAAGGCGGGTAAACTCAGTAAAAAATAAAAAGAAGCAAAGAGACAGAGGATGAGAAGTTACTAATAAAGGTTTAGGTGTAGCTCGTGTATCAGTATCATATGTTAAAATAAGTTGGAACAAATGGGATTGATCAAAGCCAAATTTATGATTGAGCTATGTCTTTGCTTTAGAACATTTTCATTCAGTGGATGTAGTTTTTATAGTTAGTTTTTTTTTTTGTTTTCTTTTTTTAAATCTTTTGGTTATTTTAGTACATGTTTCACGTCTCCTGTTTTTCTGTTTTAAAATTACCTTATGAATTTTTGTTGTGGTTCATTTTTAGGTAATTATCAGGGTACGTGAAGTTCAGTTGATACAAGTCAAATCAAACTCATTTTATTATTTTTTTTAAAGATTAATTATATTGAATGCACTTGAGGTCTGTTGCACACACAGCTGCCACCATCTGTCTAGAAGCTCTTAAGGTGCAAATGCAGCGACATTCATGTTTACCAGATGCTGCAGTCGCAGTTGTGTGCTGTTTGCTGAACGATGGTCAAGTGGTTGATAAGATGAAGCTGTAGGTTATTGTGTTTACACTCGAGCACAAGTCTTAAAGTCGCCACCTAACTGACCTGGAGTCTGCGCTCATACCCAATACACTGAGTTCATTTATAGGTGTTCTTAGAAAGACTGGAAGAGAGTTACGGTAAGAAGTATCTTCGAGTCTGGTTTCCTTCTAGCTTACTGAATCACAAAAAAATGAACAAAGATACATTCCTTTTATCAGTCACTGACTTTTCATTCATTCTTTATTTTATTTGTGACGACTATCATGTAGCTTTCTCAGACAGAGGGTCTCATATTCACTCGCTTGAGGTGAGCATTTTACTAACTTTAAGTGCAATAATTATGACTTAAGCATCTTGCGTTATGTTCTGCTGGTGATGTTCTTGTTTACATTTTAATCACACTCACTTTGAGTTGAGCTTATCTCTTTATATTGATTTGATTCATTAGAAGAGCTCGGAGTTCTTTGTTACGACCTCACCTCACTCATTTCCTCCAAATACAAGTTAATGCTGAAGATTGTACAGATGGTACCAAGCTGCACATGTGGATATTTGCTGAACAATCTTTATTTATAGATATGTCATAGCTCATTTACTTATGAATGTTATTTTAATGTATTTGTAAGGTACTTTATGGTTGAAACGCTACAGTATCCCCACACCACCTCCCTCACCACATGTTTAATAACACTGTATATTTAATGCAAATCAAAAAAAACACACTTTAATATTCATGTATTAAGGAGTCACTGATACACTTTCTATTGGCATGAATATGTTTACCTTTAATGAAAATTCAACTTCACTATGTACTGTGCCTCAGTATATTTGTATTTTTCTTTTTGTATTATCAAAGAGTTCAAATTCATCGTATAAGATATGAGTGTGTTTTACCAGTTGACTCAGCACCAATGAGAATCTGTTCATTACTGTCGGAGGCAAATAACCAACAGCATTCAGGTCACAAATAACTGTTTTACTGCCTTGTCCTCATTTCACAGTTTTATGTCATCTCATATGTCGCCTCAATCTGTGAAGCTAATGTCATAACAACATATGTTGTTTCCATGTCAAACAGCGCTCCTCAGTTCTGTTAATTTATCACTTTCTACCGAACAAATGCTGAGGTGAGCTGTTGGGCGGCTGTCGGATCGGATCGCACTGCTGGTACTGAAATTAATTGAATGACTACTTCTTCGGTTATAGCCTCAGAAAGAGGCCATTCCCTATTCCTGTGCTTGTAGTAGATGCTCAATAATAGTATAATCACTCACTGATGTTTAGGTTTACATGTTTAATTGTTTATTCCTATTTAATGGAAAGCAGCTTCATGTACAGTGTAAAATATGCTTTGTATTATCACAGTAACTGTCCTTTTACTCAAAGTTGCACACCATTTTTAATGATATATCTCTATTAGGTGACGATCCACCTTGTCCTGTTGCTGGTATTAATTCTGGTATTTATATCTGTTTTGTAATTTCTTTCTAATCCCAAGTCTTCAGAATATCTGACCTTTACACTGTATGATACCAAATCACAGGTGAGACAAAGTGCTACACTGAATGTCGACAGTCAAAAACACTTACGTTTTCGTTTTTCATGAATGTTGCACCACTCAGAAACACATTTGTCTTTGTTTTCTGCTGCTGTAGTTATTCTATCTGAAGGTATGTCATCTCTTTTGGACTTGAAACCTTAAAAAAAAAAATCTCTTGTTACTGAATGTACTCTGGTTAAATGTATAATGACATACAGTACACTAAGAAGGCCAATGAACCTCACTTGCCTTTAAAGTATTTGGTGTATCCAAAGAGATCATTTCATGGGTGTTTTTTTTTTTTTCTTCCTCTCTTCTTTGTGTTTAGTCGGACAAAACTCAGACGTTATTATGGACAAGAAGTGACTGTTGGTACATAAGATTTTGTGCGATGATGTGACACAGATGTTGGCAAATTCCTTTGTATTGGAAAAGATGATCTGATCTGCACATATTTTGTAAAGCCAAAAAATGTTTGAATCAGTTTGTAAAATCACGAGTATTATGAGACTAATTAAGAAGATATGTGGATAAGAGTCTGTTTTCCATTGTGGAAAAACTTCTCACTGAATGCCTTTCTACATGTGTTGAAGTGTAAACTCATGTCTGCTCATGTCACAGGCTTCACCAACCGATTCAACTAGTACTGTATTAGTAGTTAGCCAGTTGTCCATGGACCTTGCCAAGCTGTTCATACTTTAAAGGTGCATTGTGCATATAGTCACTTTGTAATATCACTTCACCTTCCTTGACTTTTTGCACATTTTGTCATGCTGTAAAAGTTTGGAAATGTGCTTCCTGAGGATTTATCCTGTCTGAGGTTCAGTCAAAGTAGGAGTTCATGTAAACAAGATTTCAAAACAAAAACAGTTTTTATTTTTTTTTGTTTGTTTTTGATTTATGATACTCAGCCTTTTTAATGGTTTCTCTTTCTTGCAAAGCAAAGCATGTATTCCTGGCAGTGACATTTTAGTTCAGGCCATGTTGTGTAATACTAGCACTGAGTATGGAACAGGTGATTTACACCCATGTCTACAATGTGCCCTCAAGCCCAGCTGCTTTGCTTGAATGATGAAATTACAAAAGATAAGGTCTGAGAACATTTATTGTTGAATACATTTGGACCCTGAGGTTATTTAGTTCAAATGAAAAATGAGGGGTGAGTACTTCAAATTAATTAATTTTGCCTGTCATGTTTTCTTTTAGCTTGATTGCTACGTTTGCTTTATGCTTTAATATAATTCGGTGCTTTGGTAAATGTCAGACTGAAACACAAATCTAAATGAAAAGCATTTTCAAATCATTTTTTTTAGCACAACGATGTAAAGGGGTACATTGCAAAAAAAAGAGCCTGCATCATTATTGTACTTCTTCCTTGCCTCTTTGCATAATATTTGTCATCCAATTAATGCCTATGTTTGAATATGCAAAGCACTCAAACTGCTTAGAGGCAAATGTTTCCTATAAAACTTGGCGATGGCCTGTGTCATAATTTAAGTTTATAAAGACAATGTTGCACATGCATTAAAGTAAGTGTTGTAGGTGAATGTCCGCCCCATTCCAAAAGACAGTGCAAGTCTATGGTGTTTTTTTCCTCCCATGTTGACGAAGCATGCATTGAACCTTTTGATGAAGATGACATAAAGCTCAAGTCGGATCTCACAATCCTCCTCTGGCAGTCTTTTAAGTCTTCTACTGATACTATGATGCTGCTTGCCATAGGCCACATACAGCTGCCAGACACTAAGACTTAAGCCCCGGCTAAATCCCCTGACGGTGCTTGTAATGTGGCACACAGTTATGAAGGAAATGATGACTGTGTTTATAAAAGATCTTGCCAGTTAGCAAAGCTTCATTGAGTTTACAGAATTGTATGGAGGCTGGTGCACAGAGGCCAACACAATTAGACATAATGTGAGCTGAGGTTAGTGCCCCAACATGGTGAAGACCTGAAATGACATTTTGATACTTACTTCTTCTGAAGGTCGTCGACATGTTCTGAGTCTCGCGGCTCATTCAGGCACATGCCTTGTAATGTGTTTGGACTATTGTCATTTCTGCATGTCAATCAAATTTTTTGATCATGTAACACTTCTTATAATTACCAAATTATATGGCATCTTCCTGATCTATAAACCATTAATTCCACTGAAGTGGGTTCATTTTCATCAACTCTCATCACACAAACTTATTGTAATGTATTTAACTCAGAACTGTACTGTGTGTAAGTTGGTTAAGAAATGTACTTTCATACCTGGATGTTTGGGGACAAGAATGTATGGCTTTTATATTATTGTAGTTCTGGAAACACACTGGGGTCTAGATGATGTATGTATTGAACAGTATAATGCTGTTAATGGTGATTGTATGTGCCAACAAACGCACTGAGTCATAAGAATTTGATGATGCATTTCTTCATATTCACCCATTCTCAATGTCCTACAGTTTGCAACAATGACTTTTAGATATTGTCATCACTATCATTATAATCAAATTCCAATGTTTCACTGGATGTACTTTGAAAGGCGTGTATTGTCCTTTTCAATACACTCACTGTAAATGAAAACTTCTGTTTTGTTGTTGTCATTCTCTCTCGCTCTCTTTTTTTTTTTTTTTTCAGTCAGAAAGATCAAACGGCTGTAAAAACATTTGAACCACGAATGAAATCTGAATTTATATAACTAGTGTCCTCACAGATGTGTTTAACCAAACACTGCAGTGTAAATCTGATGCAAAGTGGATTCCTGTTCCTTTCGTTTAACACCTGCCCTATCATTCTTAAGGATAAATTAAAAGCCGCTCTCAATTAACTCTGATCTCAGTGGCAGTTAAACCATGATTAGCGTTTGTAATTGTGCTGATTTGTGTCAAGCTTTTGTTTTCTGGCCTGCTCAGAGCAGCTCTTCCTTTTGTTCTGGAGAAATTCCCATGCCTTCCTGGCAAATGAGAGAAGTGGCATCGTTTGACAACTGAGTAGCAAGATTGCTTGTTAAAACTCCACTCTAATTTGCCTATGTGTGCAACAAGACTGTGTGAAATCTTTTGGGACAAGAAACACTTGTGTTGTTTACCAGCCGACGCTTTTGTGGGATGGTTTGCGTCCC